GGCGGCTGTTGAAACTAGCCCAAATGCCAACACAGTTGACCAAAATGCATATTGCTGTGGTATTATTATCAAAACAGGAAAAATGAAGATATTTCCCCTACACCCTAACAAAAAGTCTGCTACAGTCCGTCAGAGAGTATTACAGTACTGAACAACGGAGACAGAAAAAAGAGACGGCACGGCATCGTCATAACAATAGACATGGCAACCACAACTCGATAGGCGAAAGCCTTTGGGGAATCCTTTTAAAACAATAATAATTACAATAAAACACAGTAGAATCATCATTTTCAGTTGATAAACTAAGAATTGCACAGCAAAGAGTTTCTTCATGGTTTACATGTGTACCAGGAAGTCGTCCAATACAGTGCTGCAAGTACATGTATTTGACAACACCGTAGTGTGTAATACTGTGCACAATTGTTATTCTTATTCCAGCTCCAGATAGCTGTATACTGCGAATCGTACAGCGTCGACTAATCACACAGTCACGAGCTAACTGAAATAAACAATTTGCCGGCAAATACACAAATTGTTTGCGGGCAATATCGCATAATATTGCCCGCGGCGGGAAAGGTTCTGGTTCGCTGGAGTACGGGCAATAACCATGTGCCATGTGATAAGTCTTGTTATACATCCCTGGCTAGATGCCACCAGGGTCTCTTACGTCCAAATTCGAAATACTTTGAAAACAGCTTTCCATTCAGGTACCGTATGTGAGTTATCACAACCTTTATGTACTATTCTCTTTTCCTTTCATTGTGCTCAGCCCAACAGCATGATAAGATGTGCAACACGAAACAACCGATCACCATTGAGATTTTCGTCGGAGCGTTGGCTGCAAGCCTGTTTTTTGGTTCCCTCATTACATTTCTGCTAACACGACGCGTGTGTGGCGCATCCCATCTGGACACCAAAGGATCGGAGATACCGCCAGAGAGTACACGCCATGACACGCCAAACATTGCCTACGAAAATGCGGAGATAGGGGAGACTGTAATGACGAGCAGCGAGGCATACGTAGCCGTTGGGGTGGGAGATACGGCTAACTACCTGGCTGTTCTGCCATAAAATTTAGACAGCAGAGTGTTGTTTTCTCATGGGAAAATTCATCATTGATATGTGCATGCTAGAGATTGAAACGTGAGATTCACTGCTAAACAGTGTAGAAGTAATTTCCGTGAAACTCATCTGCTGTTATTTCCTAGAAAATATAACTTCATGCTGGAGCTTGTACTAAATATTTGTTACTTTGAGGCGTCCCTACGAATCTGATTGCGCGTCTCGCACTGTGTATCTGTCTGCAATAACATTATTCGCTGTGATTTCTTACTTCTATAGTCTAAAATTAAAACTGTTCAACGCCTTTGTGAATAAGGATAATTATGGATTAGAAGTACTAACTTTAGTACTAGTAGTAGTGTTTGGAGAACTCTGACTTGGAGGAGACTGATCTGCCAGGGAACTCTGCAACAAGGCTGTGCATTTGTTTATCCCTCTGCTCCGAAGCTAGCATCTGCTGCTTCATGAGCTCGAGCCACTGCTCCATGGGGCTACTACCTGAGTTGGCGGATCGTGCATCCAACTTACCTTCTCCGTCAGACATGACGACCAAACAAAACTGTTACTGTAAACAACGCTGAAAAAATGCAAACGAACGGGCTAGACAAATGTCGGAAATAGTTAATAATAATTAACATCCCACTGCACACACAGACATTCAAGACCAGGTTTGGGCTAGATCGGGACTCACAGTGGGTGAAATGATTAGGATTACACCGCACTTCCACATGGTAGGACAAATGTGGAAGGGGCAGCTAAAGAGGTTAGGCTTACACCGCACTTCCACATGGTAGGACAAATGTGGAAGGGGCAGCTAAGAGGTTAGGCTTACACCGCACTTCCACATGGTAGGACAAATGTGGAAGGGGCAGCTAAGAGGTTAGGCTTACACCGCACTTCAACACGGTGGGACAAATGTAGAAGGGGCAGCTAAAGAGGTTAGGCTTACACCGCACTTCCACATGGTAGGACAAATGTGGAAGGGGCAGCTAAGAGGTTAGGCTTACACCGCCCTTCAACATGGAAGGACAAATGTGGAAGGGGCAGCTAAAGAGGTTAGGCTTACACCGCACTTCCACATGGTAGGACAAATGTGGAAGGGGCAGCTAAGAGGAAATGGCTTACACCGCGCTTCAACATGGTAGGACAAATGTAGAAGGGGCAGCTAAGAGGTTAGGCTTACACCGCACTTCCACATGGTAGGACAAATGTGGAAGGGGCAGCTAAGAGGTTAGGCTTACACCGCGCTTTAACATGGAAGGACAAATGTGGAAGGGGCAGCTAAAGAGGTTAGGTTTACACCGCACTTCCACATGGTAGGACAAATGTGGAAGGGGCAGCTAAGAGGTTAGGCTTACACCGCGCTTCAACATGGTAGGACAAATGTAGAAGCGGCAGCTAAAGAGGTTAGGCTTACACCGCACTTCCACATGGAAGGACAAATGTGGAAGGGGCAGCTAAGAGGTTAGGCTTACACCGCCCTTCAACATGGAAGGACAAATGTGGAAGGGGCAGCTAAAGAGGTTATGCTTACACCGCACTTCCACATGGTAGGACAAATGTGGAAGGGGCAGCTAAGAGGTTAGGCTTACACCGCGCTTCAACATGGAAGGACAAATGTGGAAGGGGCAGCTAAAGAGGTTAGGCTTACACCGCACTTCCACATGGTAGGACAAATGTGGAAGGGGCAGCTAAGAGGTTAGGCTTACACCGCGCTTCAACATGGAAGGACAAATGTGGAAGGGGCAGCTAAGAGGTTAGGCTTACACCGCACTTCCACATGGTAGGACAAATGTGGGAGGAGCAGCTAAAGAGGTTAGGCTTACACCATGCTTCCACAGGGTAGGACAAATGTGGATAAGCTGCTAACACGGGTACGCTTACACCCTGACAACCGCATGGTAGGACGAATGCGGTGGGGCTGGTAACCTGGAGTAAGAGTGCTTTGCAGGCCACTTAACAAATACCTCCATGTTGTGACTCCCTATTTATTTGTAACATTGATACGAGTTGCTTTTGCGGTAAGTCTGGCACCATAGAAAGCGTTAAAGTTGGGTGGGTTTGGGATGGGGAAAATTCTGGCAGAGAGCTAGTTTGTGAGGAAACAGCGAGCCAGAGAAGCAAGCAAGCGTGGAACAACAAATGCTTCAAAGTAGAATCTTCAAGCGCAGGCAGTTTAGTTTAGGCCAGCTGACTTATACATACTGTATAAGCTGACGTCAGTGAAGGTGCGCAGCTCCCGGTTGTGTTTGCAAGTACTTGGTCGCATGCACAAACAGTGACAAGGCCAGCGTATCAGCTGTGGTATAGGTAACGTAAGGAACAAGTGCAACGTGGACCCTATGCGAGAGAGCCAGCTGAGAGGGTGTTACGGGACTGTTAAAGAGAAAGACCAAGGAGCTACAAGAAACGCTATAATAATAATAATAATATTCGACGAAGAGACATTAATTTTAATATGGCAATAAGTAGGACAAGCTGAAGTGAAATTTGGATTACTTTATTAACAATGTAAGCGATGGAAATGATGCAAAAAATGTAAAGGGTAAAGAAACTACATGTAATAACTATGAAGAAAACACAGCAGCTCTGCCTCCCCTGACCCTCCTCCTTCGAGGTCTGTTTTGGTGGGGAGTACTCGTGGCGGTCGAGTTGTCCCACTGGAACCAGAGCTGGATTCAACAGAAAGATTAACAACCATGGCTGCAACAACAACACCAGCTTCACATGCAACAGCAACACCAGCTTCACATCTAACAACAACAGCAACTAATCCACAAAACAAAACAGCAAATGACAGACCACGCAGATCTACAGCAGATTACAACCGGACCTATGAATTCACGGTAAACATACAAAGAAACATCGCGGCTGGCGTTGATGGTGAATGTGAGACGCAACACAATGCAAGTGTAACAGGTAGCCGAGTGGTAAGCGCGGTGCAATTAACACCAGTTATCTTTTATCATTATTCTCTTAGGTACACACCTGGGATATAATTAGAAGTTAAAGAAGAAGCGACAAATAACTGACTTTCTCTCAATAACTGACTTTCTCTCAATAACTGACTTTCTCTCCGGTGCACACCTACAGGTTTACTACTTCTTCTTGGAGTTAGCTTTCTCGTTGCTAAAATATCTAATCTAATTAAAACAGAAAAGCGCAGCAGCTTTTATGCCGCAGACACCGTACGCTTATATGCGGAGATACACTAAAAGTAATATACATAAGGTCAAGTTTAAAGGTCAAGTTCCGTATTGCTTCCGTATTAGCCAGGCAGGGATACTACACCGTCCCTTCCCACAGATAATCACGCCCTCGTGATGTTCAAAAGTAGGCAGGTGGGTGAATGTTCTGTCTTGGCCGGAGGTTGTACGGAGGTGCAGGAGGAGGCGGAGCGGGGGGTTGGAGTTGACGTAGTGGTGTATGTGCAGGGGTGGTGTGTATCTCGGGATCGTATGTCGGTGGTGTTGCAGGACGTAGATCTACGTCGGTTACTTGATGATAGTTCAGGCGATTTAAGTGAACAATTGAAAGCCTCTGGCGATCCGACAACGAACGAATGCGGACTGTGACATCATCGATCACCTTCTGGATGACATATGGTCCTGTCCAGAATCGGTGAAACGTGGGGGACTCATTCTGAGGGACCACTGGTGAATGTAGGAGAACAAGCTGATCCTTCGTGAACTTCGGTGGCGGGCGAGATGTGCCATCGTAACCCTTCTTCTGGTGCTGGTGTGATTTAAGGCCGTGCTGGCGGGCACGCTCAAAGGCAGTCTCAGTTGAAGTACGAATAGAAGAGACGAATTCAGGGTAAGATGGTGGTGGTGTGTTACGGGGTAAACCATACATCACATCGAGAGGCAGAACTGGATTATAACCAAACTGGAGGCGGAATGGAGAATAGTAAGTCGATGCATTTTTTTTTTTTTTTACTAAGTACACAACCTACTCGTCAGAAGGGGAGAAGACAACAGAGTATACAACAGAGTATACAATGACAAAACAGCAGGGAGAGTAGGGGCATGTACACTAGTGCGGTATGCTAGTGCCGTGGGTTGGAGATGCAAGTCCCAGTCTCGGTGATCAGAGATGGATGTTGCAATCATAGCTTCTAGTGTCCGGTTGAATCTTTCAACCATGCCATCACTTTGTGGGTGGTAGGGTGTGGTTCTGGTCTTGGTGATATCAAGCATAGTGCACAGGCTTTGAAACAAGCGACTCTCAAACTGGGAACCTTGATCAGTGTGCAAGGCAGCGGGTGCACCATAGCGACAGATCCAACCATCGAAGAACAAACCGGCGACAGTAGAGCGAGCATGTTGGGCATGGGGAAAATCTCGACCCATTAAGGAGAAGTAATTCATTATGACTAATACGTACCGATTTCCTCGATCAGTGATAGGAAGGGGGCCCATGACGTCGATGGCGACACGCTGGCTTGGATAGGATGATGTTTGCGATTGCAGAGGTGCTTTCGGTTTGGGCTGAGGTGCTTTCCGTTTTTGGCACTCCGGGCAGGTTCTAACACACTGTTCGATGTCATCAGCCATGTGGGGCCAGTAGAACCGTGTACGGGCCTTGTCGATGGTGCGGGTGACGCCAAGATGGCCCGATCCAATACCGGCATGCAGTGATCTGACAACAGTAGGACGTTGTGACGCAGGCAGGACCAATTGAAGATACGAGGACAGATCATCATAAGACTCATACCGTCGGTAGAGAACACCATCTTGGACAATGAGGCAATTGAACTGCGTCCAGAGTCGGTGCACATCAGGATGAACAGAAGCTAACTCAACTGATCCCTTAGGTGGTCGTTGCTGTGATGTCACCCACTTCATCACTAGAGAAATCGAGTCATCCACAGCTTGGCTAGTGCGGAGGGAGGTAGACGGCAGCCAGGACGCTGACGGAGCAGGCTCACGAGTGCATTGGTCGAGATCGCCTGTGGACAGAGAGACACCGCATGAACTCACAGCAGCAGATGCAGCAGGCGGCAGACACATACTCTTGACAGCAGGGGAAGAACACACATGTCCACACAATCTTGACAAACTATCGGCGTTGACATGCTGAGAGCCAGGGCGATGCCGAGTTTCATAGTCAAACGCTGATTACCGTTCTATCCAGCGTGCAACAATGCCATCCGGATTCTTGAATGAAGATAGCCAAAGGAGGGCTTTGTGATCAGTGCGGAGTAGGAATGTGGCGCCGAGCAGGTAGTGACGGAAATAGTGAGCGAATTCAATAACAGCAAGTAACTCACGCTTTGTCGTTGTGTAATTACGTTGACCAGAGGACAGTGTCTTACTTGCATAGGCGATGGGATGCATGTGAGAATCCCGGCACCACCTGTAGCAAATTTGCAGATGACACCGCTCTGATTTCCATAGCGAGAACTCTTCAAGACTGCACCCGAAACCTACAACAGAGTGTCACAGCAGCTGGAGACTGGCTTCAAAAATGGCACCTACTGGTTAACACAAAGAAAACAGTCATCCTCCCGTTCTACCACGATAACCTCCCCCCTGAACAGCTACCCCAGACCACCCTCAGGAATAGTCCGCTTACCGTAGCACAAAAACACAAACAACTCGGAATAATCTTTCAGCATGACCTCCGTTGGACGGAGCATGTTGAATACATAGTTAAAAAATCACTCAAGTCTTTCAATATTCTTTTTAGACTGAGGTCTACACTCACCAGTGATTCTTTATCTCACATCTATCAGACATACATACTGCCTATATTCCCGTATGCGAGCAATGCTCTCACACCGTTGTCATACACTTCCCTTGACAGGCTAGGACGACTCCAGTGGAAAGCCGCCAGAATATGTCTCCACCTTCCCCTTTACACACACTTAGAACACTCCCACCTTTTGCATCGCATCAAATGGCCAACATTATTTTCACGCTTTAAAGTTAAACATATCTTCGCGCATTCTCTGCGCCATAATTATGCCCCACCACATATACTCTCGCTGCATACTGCTAGCAACGTGCAACCTTCGTATAATTTACGTCGCTCTCGTACTTGCCACTTGCCAACTCCACGGACTGACCGCTGTCTCCATTCTCCCATGTACAAGGCCCTTCATTACTTTAATTGCTTGCCCGCCCAGCGTCGCGAAATACCTTCTCTTACTCCCTACAAATCCGAGATATCCCTGCTGTTGCACAACTCTGTATGCTCGTGTAGCGACCACCCCCGCCCGTACACTTAAGTATACAACTCTGTATGCTCGTGTTGCGACCACCCCTGCCCGTACACGTAAGTAGTCATTAACCCCTACGCCCTGCCCACCCAATTCTTCCTCACTCTTTCTCCTTTCTTACACTATTATCTCTTATTGACCACTGGCTATCGTGAGAATAAAGATTTGAAACAACAACAACAACAACAACAACAACAACAACAACAACAACAACAACAACAACAACAACAACAACAACAACAACAACAACAACAACAACAACAACAACAACAACAACAACAACAACAACAACAACAACAACAACAACAACAACAACAACAACAACCCAACAACAACAACAACAACAACAACAACAACAACAACAACAACAACAACAACAACAACAACAACAACAACAACAACAACAACAACAACAACAACAACAACAACAACAACAACAACAACAACAACAACAACAACAACAACAACAACAACAACAACAACAACAACAACAACAACAACAACAACAACAACAACAACAACAACAACAACAACAACAACAACAACAACAACAACAACAACAACAACAACAACAACAACAACAACAACAACAACAACAACAACAACAACAACAACAACAACAACAACAACAACAACAACAACAACAACAACAACAACAACAACAACAACAACAACAACAACAACAACAACAACAACAACAACAACAACAACAACAACAACAACAACAACAACAACAACAACAACAACAACAACAACAACAACAACAACAACAACAACAACAACAACAACAACAACAACAACAACAACAACAACAACAACAACAACAACAACAACAACAACAACAACAACAACAACAACAACAACAACAACAACAACAACAACAACAACAACAACAACAACAACAACAACAACAACAACAACAACAACAACAACAACAACAACAACAACAACAACAACAACAACCACAGCAGCAGCAGCAGCAGCAGCAGCAGTAGCAATAACAACAGCAACAATACTACAGAACATTGAACTTGGTATCAGTGATGAGTCTACACATCACCCAACAACCTCCATCCATTGTCACTGTTCACCGCTGTCTTGCGCTTCCTGATATAAATAGCCCCCGGTCAACATACGATCGCTGTCTTCCGGCAAGAATCTGTGCACTACAGAAAGGTGAGTGGGCCGAGAAGTTGTGGCGTTTCCTCCGATAATGATCGCCAAATGGCTTCTCAACAGTGGCGTTCCTGGCGCGTCGATGATGTTCCACCGTTCTCTTTAGTGCTGTCCTCTCGGTTTCTCCGACATATTCCTCCTGGAATACGGCACACTTCAACGAATAGACGACATCCTTGGACATGCACGCTTCATGCTTCATGCCACCATCACGTGAACGACATTCAGCTGGCCTGCCCCTTCCTCTCTTCTTCATCTACTGCTGGATCCTCCTCGAGCATTGTGGCTTGCTGAACGATGACGATTCCAACATGTCCCTTAAGGAGCGGCCTGACGTAAAGACTACACGCACCTCCTTCCTGAACGACCTGACAAGTTGACGCACCTTCTTTGCGAGTCGGTCGTTTATGAACGGTACCTTGATAATTGATCTGTATTCTCTCCTCTTCTTCTTCTGGCGCGGTGTCTGTGTTTCGTCGTCGTTGGCTCGTTGGATGGCTCGTTGGGTTGCTGTGTGGAGGATGTCTTGGGGATAACTGTTCTGTCGCAGGAGCTTGGCGATTTTCTGGATGCTTCGTTGATGTCGCAGACATCACCACGCAACATGACAATTTGTCCAAGGTTTGAGACTGTGTGTTTCCAGAATCGATTTTCAAGCTCCGATCATCAGTGGAAATACGGAACTAAAGTGATTAAGGGAAGGGTCTGCGGCATTCATACTTTTCATAGCTAATAGACACCCTTAGCAAAAAACGTTATGTTGTAACAGTATTATCGTAAGGGGGAAAATACCGTGATTTGGGTTCGACCTTTAGCAAGATGCACGTTATTTTTAGTACGCTGTTGCCACGAGAGTAGCTTTGATTTCGCGCGGTACAACCATTTTTGTCACCATATACGCGATGCAAGGTGAAATGCGTACGGACTATGCAATATTTGGCCAAAACACGTACGCCCTCTTCGCCAGGATTGCCAGCAAGCTTTGTGAAAAGCGCCGTGAGCCTCTCCCGGTTATGAAGGCTTTTGTACGGGCGAAGATCTCCCTTTGCCTTGTTCGGGCAATGGTTGCCAGTCTACGTGGTCACCGTCGGAACCCGCCTCGACATCTGTCTGGTTCGGCTGTGCTGGCGGCTGCGGAATGTGCCCTGGTGCCATAAACGGTGTACATGATACAGTACAGTTTCTTTGTTAATAGTGTTTCATTTACTTTTGTATTTTCAGTTCGTTTTCTTTGTATTTAACTCCTCATTGGGTTTTTTTTTACCAGGCGTGGGCCATTCCCTGACTTCATAGGTGCCAAATATTTTACGTTTTTCATTTCTATTCTGAGAGTTTAATAAAATGGCTAAGAGTTCAAAAAAAAAAAAAAAAGCCAAAACACGTACCGTTGGTCACAACGATAAATCAGCCCCCATAACGTTTATACGCTGCAGCTTCAACGCTATTTGGGTGATCAAAGTACGAGTACCGTAAAAAATAGCGTTACCGTTATTTGCTAAGGGTGTCTATTAATGGAATGTTCCGGAGGAGGAAGGAGGAAACTGTAGTTATCACCAACCCTCACCGCACCCAGCCCACGCCGCTACGGTAGGCCCAGACAGATCCTGCCGGCAATTCTTTGGGCAAAATATCGAAGAATTGAAAGAGCGGAAATTGCCGGCAAAATCGGAGCAAAATATCGAGATTTTGGGTAAAATTGATGCCTGATCCTCGGATTTCCTTGTTTCTTACCCGTTCAGCAGGATACACTGCCCAGGACGAGATCATGTCACCGAAATATCACTGGGGTTCACTGTGGATCGACATGATTTTAGAAGAACTCAGGGACACGTGCGTGGAAGCCCGTGTTGAGAAACCGACCCTGCGATTTTTATGAACCGTTGTGCGGGATTGTACGGGAAGTGGATAAAATACACGTTTTTCCGGAGCAAAATGGAGCAAAATATCGAGTTGCTTGTGCCAGGCTCGGCAAAATATCGAAGATTTTGCAGCAGAGCTTACACTCTCAGATCGTACAGTCACCGTGGGATGCACGTATCGACCACCAAACTCTGATCCGAATTTATTCTGCTGCGAACTTGAATTGTGTCTCGGGAAATGTAACACCACAGCGCCATTCATCCTCCTCGGCGACCTAAATTCCAAGAACAGCTCTTGGTTGGATTCTGATGTCACAGACAGAGCTGGTGACGCACTTAGCTATCTTATCGATGCATAATGGTTTCCATCAGCATGTAAACTTTGCGACCCACATCTGCCGAGGCTATTTAAATTCGTGCCTCGATCTAGTCATCTCCAATCTCCCTCCGGAGGAGGTCACACTTTCTTCCAGAGCACCGTTTGGGTGTTCAGATCACGTAGCAATCCAGGGAACTATCTCCATGCAGCCACCAGCAGATGAGCGTGGCAGACGTAACCTGCCACCTTGGACCTGGAACTGGAATTCAGAGAACGTTGGCGCCCTGAGAGAAACGCTAGCGTATACTCAACTCCTGCCACCCGACATTGACTTGTCGTCATATTCGCTGACCGAACTGTGGTCGCTCTGGCGTGACACTCTGCTTCGCACCGCACACCAGTTCTGAACATTCTGCGGCAACATATCGAGGCGAGCGGAGCAGAATCTGTCTGGGCCTACGCTACGGCGTGCGACCTGAGCTGGCCGCCCTGCCGTGCAGTATGGAACTGTCCTCAAGCCAGTCACGTATTGGCAGCCCAGTGAGCTGTCTACCGGTATACCGGATCGCAGCGTTTACTTGTAGAAGCGCGTAGAAGCGCCAAATGCTGCAGGGCCAGTCTCGGGCTGGTCGCGTAGACGGCTGGCTGGCGGGCGACCGGCAAGGCTGCATTCGCATTTGGATCACCCAAGTGATACAGGTGCTTCGACTGCACCCCGTGGCGCATCAGGGAGGCATCTGGGGGCTGGGGCCCAGGCAGCCCGCTCGTAAGTGCACCACCGTATCAGGTATGCGCAGGTGGAGCAGCAGAGCAAGATGTGTGCCGGACACTCACCATCATCCGGTCGACTTCATGGTTGTGTGACATTACACAGCCGGCACTCATCACTTGCTATTGCTTGTAGAAGGCTAGAATTTTTTTCTCTCGTTTGCTCTAAAGCTAGTTGGTTTACATGGTTTATAGTAACTTTATACCCGTACCTGAGCATGGATCCTTCTCAGCAGCAGATCGCTGGTATTCCTCGTTTGAGACCGCGGCGACGGCAGCGTCGGCCCTGACCAACAAGCCTCGGGCGATGAGCATGCCGGCCGAAAATGCAGGCATGGACACTGTCGTGCATGACCAGTTGAGTTTCTTGGAGGCGCTATGATGCCGGCCGGGGCGACGCATTTGTTGGCGCAAGGGAGACGATTAGGACAATACGGCGTGCAGAATACTTCGAGCTGGCCACAATGCTTCCTTCATGTCCTGCCCACACGCAGCCAGCAGCCAAACGTGTTAGAATTAATCAATCCGATGGCAGTCACTGAGTGAAATTGTCATTGGCAAGAGAAAAAACTGAAAAACTGAATCTCTAATCTACTGGGTCGAGGCCTGGCAGACTTTCAGCACCATCGCACCTTGCAACACGAGCTTACGCCCTCTGGGGCCCTAATTAGTCCGACAAGAAATTCATACTGCACGGCGACAAAAAGGCAGTTTGAGCAGTCTGGAATCCGGGACTTGCCGAAATCCAACAGTGACGGAACTAGCCCACTTCAGCCCCCGCATGGTAGCAGAACACAAGGCTTTATCTCGCTGACTACCCATATTACGGACACGGACAACTCCGCTCCGGGCTCTCTTTCACGTGAACGATTAGTCCATTTCCTCTCATCCGCTCCTTAACAAGCTGCTGGACTCGGCTTAGTCCCGAACTCATGCTATGTGGTAGCAACTAACCGTGGCAGCAAACTGGCTGAACATCTTCTCAACCAATGCGTGCCTCCTTTTTCGTGCGCTGTGTAGTCTATCTCTCTCAGCACACGTGGGTAAGCACGGAAACACACACACACACGCACACGCACACACACACACGCACACGCACACGCACACGCATACATACATACTTCCTCCGTATACAAAAACTTCGTGACTTTTCTTCAACGGTGTTTTTGAGCAAGAACCTGCTCAACGAACCACGCCAAAGGCTGTCATCGACCACCCACATTCATTTTGAGGTAGGTTTGGTTGATCCCGAACAGATTCTCCACCGAAGCCATGCGTGTGAGGACGTTGCCGACAGGAACTCACGAGTCAAATGAAAAAAAACTAACACTTACTTGCTCGAAACTGACACGGTGACGAAGTGGAGCTCGCGGCTGGAACACGGAGTCACGCAGCATTCGCTGCCCTGAAACTGGCCAGGCTCGTACTTGCGGTGCGCGGCCCCCATATGCAACGTGAGAACATAAATCGGTTCCGCTCGCACGGCAAGATGAAACATTTCAGTCGCCGTGCAGCCAGCGCTGACTCCGGATCGGAATGTCGACGACCTGGCTTTCTTCGCCTCTCTCAAGTCAGACGTCTCCGTCGTCGTCTAGGGGAATCGCAGGGACCTCCTCGAAGCCGTTGTAGAATGCTGGGAGGATTATCCTGCCGAGAAAATGCGAAGCGTGTGGGTGTGCTTGAGCGACTCGTTTCACGACATAATGGAGGTCGCGGGTTGGAACGACTGAATATAGTCGACACCGATTTGTACACAGCTCTGGAGGTGAAGAGGACGTAGCCAAAGTTCCGCATCAGATCATCACTGCAGCTGAAAAGAATCTGAACGAGTGGGAGCGGAAGCAGCGACTGTTGGCGATGCGGCATCAGCGTCGTCAGGTGACAATGACAGGAGCGACGAAGACTCTGAATAAACTCAATCTCATTTGTCTGAGTTGCTTTTTTCTTTGAATATAGCTTGTAAACAGGTTAGACAATGCCACAAGTATTATTCCGAGTCAAACGGAACAATTCCAGAGCTGTGCGCAGCCTTCAAAAAAAGTCACGAAGTTTTTGTATACGGAGGAAGTACATACATTCACACATACATACACACACCTTGAACCTTAAAACTGCCACCTAAAGGTGATGCAGTGCCTCAAAGAGGCAAGGAGGGCAGAGTTACTTCTTGCATTTGTGTTGAGCCAGGTACTGGAGACGTGTGGACTTCCGAGAGCAGGTCGGGCATGGGATGGTGCGGCGCTCGGAGCCAGAGCTGCATGTTCTGCGGTTGCAGTTGCAGTTGTGCCGGCGGTGCCCAGCTTTGCTCCGGAAACAGCGGTCACAGGTGTGGCAGTGGTAATGACATTGGCTGCAATCAGGTGGGCGAGGTGCAACAATCTCTGGAACTGGAGCGTCACCAAGACTGGGAGACCAGCTGTGCACAGCAAATCCACCTCGGCTAGCAAACCAACGATGGCACGTTTCGCACAACACAGCACCGGCCTGTTCATGGATCGGCTTCAGTCGCTCTTCCCTGCATTTGTGCCGCCGAAGTCCGCTTTCACTGGCGAAGAGTCGCTCACAGATCGCACAACACACTGACTTGGCTGTCGTTTCAAGGCGTAAACGCCGTGCAACAATAGCATCCGAGATGGACTGGATCCATTCGCCACGTTCAGCTGCGAGGTCGTACCAACCGGTGTATAGACCGAACGCCTTGAGGTCATCGCGTACCACATCACGCCATCGACGCCTGGGGCCATGAGCAGGGCGTGCAGTATGGAGCCACGAGAACAACACTGCCTTTGGAAGCCTGTGGTCGTCCATCCTGGCAATGTGGCCAAGCCACTGCAGCCGTCGACGGGCAACCATGTCAGCAACTGGCTCTGTAGCGCACATTCTATGCAGCGAGGCAGATGACAGGTGGTCCTCCCACTGTTTGGAACGCGAGATGCCGAGAATGACACGAACGCAGCGGTTGTGGAATTGTTCAAGGCGACGTATGTCGGCACGCAACAGTGTCCAGTTCTCAGCCCCGTACAACAGCACCGACAACACACAGCATGTGTACGTGTGTTGTTTCGTCTTGGATGTTAGTGAAGTGTTCCGAAAAACTGACGAGTAGAGGCTGCCAAAGGCCTTAGATGCAGCAGCTATGCGGTTGGACACATCTCTGTGGCATCGTCCGTCTGGTGTTACCACTGAGCCGAGATATGTAAACTGGCTGACATGCTGGATGGCGTTGCCTTGTACGCTTAGCGGGGTACGGTCACTGTCGTTGATCTGATGCCCAACAGCCATGAACACTGTCTTTGCCATGTTGAGAGACAGCCCGAATGCTCCACTGACCTCCGCAAATATCTCAAGCATACGCTGAGCATCCGAGTGGCTGGGTGCAAACAAGGCTGCATCATCAGCAAACTCACCATCTGTGATGACCATATCATTACCACGCTTAGATCTCTTGAAAAGCTGACCATCGGCACAGGTACGGAGTGGAAAACCAGACACTCCACGCTCTTGGACGCGTGCGCACCAACGTTCCATCACTGCACCAGCAAACAAGTTGAAAAGGACTGGTGCCATTGTACACCCTTGGCGCAATCCGTTGCACACTGGGAAGCCTTCAGTGGGGGAACCATTAACGATGATCGTGGCTGTCATGTTGTCGTGAAAAGACTTCAGAAGGCTGACCAGTTGCTCCGGGACTCCCAGCTTCAGCAGGACAATCCACAGTGCAGCACGCGGAACAGAATCGTATGCCTTCCTCAAATCGACAAACACCAGGAATCCCTGGGAATGGTGCTCGTGACACTTCTCCACAACCTGGCGAACAACAAACGTCATGTCCGTGCAGGAGCGACCTTTCCGGAAACCACACTGTGATTCAGGCAGCACACTTTCGGCGACTTTCTGCAATCGATTTTGCAGCAGGCGTCCGAACAGCTTGCCAATGACGTCGAGGAGTGCGATGCCACGCCAGTTGTCGCAGCTAGTGAGGTCACCCTTCTTGGGTATCGGTATTATCTCAGCATTCACCCAATCTTGCGGTACTACGCCCTCCTCCCAAACCGCGGTAATGAGCTTAAACAGATTGGCATAGAATAGGTCACAGTTGTATTTGACCATTTCCGGTAGAATGCCGGAGCTTCCAGCAGCTTTCCCGTTCGTAAGATAGCGAAGGCAGCGCTGGGCCTCTTCAGCAGTGGGTGAGGTGGCCAGGTGTTCCATGATGTTCCGCTGCTGGACCAAGTCAATTTCAGATCGGACAAAGCCGCTTGGAAGGTTCAGCAGCTTTTCGAAATGTTCAGACCAGCGGTGCTGCTGTGCCTCAACGGACGAGCATGGTGAGCCATCAGTCTGTTTGATCAGGCACGACTTAGTGGGAATCAATCCGCGCCGGGCGGTCTGTAGATCCCGGATGCTGTTCCACACAGCCTTACACCCAAACTTCCTAGATTCGGCATCAGACGCAATCTTACGGAACCAGTCCTCCTTAGCACTGCGAACAGCATCCCTTGCAGCTGAGCGCGCGCGGACAAACTCTCGCCGGACCAGAGGTGATGGATCTGCTAAAGATTTCTGGAATAGAGTGTTACGATGTGCAAGGAGAGGCTCGAGAGTGGCAGAACTGGCTGAGAACCAATCTGGCTGACGACGGCGACTCTTGCCTAGGACAGAGGTAGCTGCTTTAACTGTGGCGTCCCGTAGTGAACTCCATTGATCCTGAACTGAGGTCCCTGGTGCAGCGTCTTGCAAACAGTCGGATGAGGTATGGTACCACTCCGCCACAGTTGCTTGCCTTACTAAATCATCATCCTCTGATGCAGTTGGGTCAGCAGGTCCGAGCTGGGATACATCAAAGCGACGGCGATCAGGGGCCTTGCTCTTTGGCGGGTAGAAACGGCGGCGGCAACCAAGTGACACCGTTAACCCAACAAGTTTGTGATCGGTCCCACACTCAGCAGACCGGTACACACGGCAATCTGTACAGCGCTGAAAATCCCGCTGCCGGGTGATCGCATAGTCAATACAGTGCCAGTGCTGTGAACGTGGGTGCTGCCAGGTAACTTTATGAATGCCCTTTTTCTGGAAGTACGTATTACAGAGTCGAGAGTTAAACATGGATAGAAAGCTCAACAGTTCCTCACCAGCTTCATTCATGGTACCAACGCCATAAGGACCACGCACTTGCCTCCATGCGTCCTCTTCATGACCTGGGCTGCTGCCAACACGGGCGTTGAAGTCACCAAGTACGACGTACAAGTCGCGCTCCGGGATGGATAACATACACACACACATACTCTCTCTCTCTCTTTTTCTCTCTTTATCCTCCTCTTCTACATCCCTAACCCTGCTTCGCCTCTATTTGCTGTCACTCCCCTCCCCTTCCTACTCTCGTACTAGGCGGCATTACACCAAGTCTCAGCATGTGGGGTCTACTTTGCTGTGTTGGGGCTTTGTTTGGACATGGCGAGCTGTTATCATATTTCCTTGCGGCTGTTGTCGCTGTTGCCATTGTTGTTTAGATACCACGGCGAGCCGGCAGTAAGTGCCGGTTTTCGCGGGCTGGCGACCTTGTCTTACTTTCAGTAATTAACACTTTACCCGAGGTGGGACGGATTAATCCGTCACGACCGCGCAGGGCAGATTGCAGACACACGTATGTGCGTTACACACACACACACACTCACACATTATGCGCACCCGGCGGGCAGGGCGAGTGGCCCATGCTGTTTATTCAGTTGTACTAGCGGAGGCAGGGGCAATTCCCCTTCGTAATCGCCCGTGCGGCGGAATACCCGGGGTCCTGATACGGCGGTTGTGCGAGCAAATGCAGCGGTGGTTCCCTTTTGAGCTCTGTTTGCGGCAGAGGCAGGGGCAGCGCCCCTAGCCCATGCGGCGGTTGACCCGGCAGCCCGACATGGCAGTTGACCCGGCGGCCCGATATGGCAACTGACCCGGCGGTCTGATATGGCGGCTGACCCAGCGGTCTGATATGGCGGCGGCGGCTAACCCAGCGGTTTGATATGACGGGTGACCCAGCGGTCTGATATGGCGGCTATGCGAGCAAATTCAGGGGCGGCGCCCCTTTGCACGTGTTGTGCGCGGCGGCATTGGTCAAGGCAGGGGCAGCGCGCCTCGCCTGGGTGGCGTTATGCCCGGCGCTGCGGCTATGTTTGCAAAACACAGGGCCGCTCCCCTTTGAGCTTTGTATGTTCACAGCTATGTTTGCAAAATTCAGGGGCAGCTCCTCTTGGGGCCTGGTACAGCTATGTTTGCAAAAAGCAGGGGCAACTCCCCTTATTATTATTATTAGTATTATTATTACGAAGTAGTGGTTGCGACTTCGGCGATGACTTGTAAGAAAGGGTTTGCTCCCCACACCGGAGCTCGCGCTATTCCGCCGACTTTACTTGACACTTGACTGACTCACGACTGCCATCCAGAGCACACGAGAAGTCCATCGAACCTTCGACTCGGCAAACCTGCAAGAAAGCACCACTCCCTGCTCAATACACAGTGTTTCGGGGAATTCACCCCTCATCAGTTGAACTTGAGTAGGCTGAGGAAGATTGTGCCTGAAGAGCACCACTTATATAGTGCTCTCCAGGCACAAACATCACCAGGGATACAAACTTACAGAGACGCTCTGTTTCCAGTGCGACACACACCTCTTGAACACCAGATAGTAGCGTGAGTCAGTGTCGCTCCTGGACGGTGAGACAGACGTCGAGGACCCTCGGTCATTCGCAACGCTGTCACCTCCAAACCAACTAGTCGCAAGCCCGCGCTGGGCACAACAGTACGAAGTAGTGGTTGCGACTTCGGCGATGACTTGTAAGAAAGGGTTTGCTCCCCACACCGGAGCTCGCGCTATTCCGCCGACTTTACTTGACACTTGACTGACTCACGACTGCCATCCAGAGCACACGAGAAGTCCATCGAACCTTCGACTCGGCAAACCTGCAAGAAAGCACCACTCACTGCTCAATACACAGTGTTTCGGGGAATTCACCCCTCATCAGTTGAACTTGAGTAGGCTGAGGAAGATTGTGCCTGAAGAGCACCACTTATATAGTGCTCTCCCGGCACAAACATCACCAGGGATACAAACTTACAGAGACGCTCTGTTTCCAGCGCGACACGCACCTCTTGAACACCAGATAGGAGCGACACTGACTCACGCTACTATCTGGTGTTCAAGAGGTGTGTGTCGCGCTGGAAACAGAGCGTCTCTGTAAGTTTGTATCCCTGGTGATGTTTGTGCCTGGAGAGCACTATATAAGTGGTGCTCTTCAGGCACAATCTTCCTACTCAAGCTTAACTGATGAGGGGTGAATTCCCCGAAACACTGTGTATTGAGCAGGGAGTGGTGCTTTCTTGCAGGTTTGCCGAGTCAAAGGTTCGATGGACTTCTCGTGTGCTCTGGATGGCAGTCGTGAGTCAGTCAAGTGTCAAGTAAAGTCGGCGGAATAGCGCGAGCTCCGGTGTGGGGAGCAAACCCTTTCTTACAAGTCATCGCCGAAGTCGCAACCACTACTTCGTACTGTTGTGCCCAGCGCGGGCTTGCGACTAGTTGGTTTGGAGGTGACAGCATTGCGAATGACCGAGGGTCCTCGACGTCTGTCTCACCGTCCAGGAGCGACACTGACTCACGCTACTATCTGGTGTTCAAGAGGTGTGTGTCGCGCTGGAAACAGAGCGTCTCTGTAAGTTTGTATCCCTGGTGATGTTTGTGCCTGGAGAGCACTATATAAGTGGTGCTCTTCAGGCACAATCTTCCTCAGCCTACTCAAGTTCAACTGATGAGGGGTGAATTCCCCGAAACACTGTGTATTGAGCAGGGAGTGGTGCTTTCTTGCAGGTTTGCCGAGTCGAAGGTTCGATGGACTTCTCGTGTGCTCTGGATGGCAGTCGTGAGTCAGTCAAGTGTCAAGTAAAGTCGGCGGAATAGCGCGAGCTCCGGTGTGGGGAGCAAACCCTTTCTTATTATTATTATTATTATTATTTATTAAATTTGTAATAGCCCTTCGAGCCTTGTATGTAATCGTTTACAGTGATGCTTGCAGAAAGCAGAGGCAGCTCCCCTTAGTGCGTGGTATGTTTACAGCTTTGTTTGCGAAGAAGAAGAAAAGAAAGAATTAAAGGTCTCTTGGAGCTGGGTATGTCTACGGCCACGTTTGCAAAATGCAGGGGTAGCTCCCCTTGGATCTTTAGCTAGTTTACAGCTGTGCGGACAAAATGCAGGGGCAGCACTCCTTGAAACTTTGGATATTTACCACTATGTTGGCCAAATGCAGGGGCAGTTCCCCTTGGGGCTTTGGATGTTTACAGCCAGGTTTGCAAAATGCAGGGCAGCTCCCCTCTGATCTTCCTAGGTTTCCTGCTAGGTATGCAAAACGCAGGGGTAGCTCCCCTTTGGAGCTTTGGATGTTTACAGCTATGCTTCCAAACTGCAGGGGCAGCTCCCCTTGGAGCTTTGGAAGTAATTAGTTGGATGTTTACAGGTATGGTCGCAAAACGCAGGGGCAGCTCGTCTGGGAGCTTTGGATGTTTGCAGCTATGCTTGCAAACTGCAGGGGCAGCTCCCCTTGGAGCTTTGGAAGTTGGATGTTTACAGGTATGGTCGCAAAATGCATTGGCAGCTCCCCTGGGAGCTTTGGATGTTTACAGCTATGTTTGCAAATGCAGGGTCAGCCCCCCCCCCCCCCCCCTTGGAGCCTTGGATGCTTACAACTACATTTGCAAAATGCAGGGACGGCTTCCCTTTAAGATTTTGTTGGTTTACAGCTAGGTTTTCAAAACGCAGGGGTAGCTCCCCTGGGAGCATTGGATGTTTATTAGTTTGCTTGCAAAATGCAGGTGCAGCTCCCCTTGGAGCCTTGGAAGTTTACAGCTATGTTTGCAAAATGGAGGGGCAGCTCCCCTTGGAGCATTGGATGTTTACAGCTATGTTTGCAAAATGCAGGGGCATTTCCCCTTGGAGCTTTGTATATTTACAGCTAGGCTTGCAAAATGCAGGGGCAGCTCCCCTTGGAGCTTTGTATATTTACAGCTAGGCTTGCAAAATGCAGGGACATTTCCCCTTGGAGCTTTGTATATTTACAGCTAGGCTTTCAAAACGCAGGGGCAGCTCTCCCTCGGAGCGTGGTTTGTTTGCAGCTGAGATGGGGAGTGCAACCGAAGATCTCCTTTCGAGCTTGCTTGTTCGCATTTGCTTATTAGCACCGTAGCTCGGGCACCCAGCCGGTCCTGACTGGCCTCTAGCGCATACTCCCGGCCCCGGCCACACTTATTGCCTGTTGCAGGATAGGGGCCTCAACACATATTTTTTGGACGATCGGCGGGCGAGAAGCCGTCATCGACCTAAGAGGCAAAATACAGGAATAACTGAGAAACTAATAATTGTATACAACACGACAACCCTTTTCATTAATTTTTATATTCTCAGGACATCATTCTGAACATAATAACTTCTTCCATGGGTCTTCAATCACCACGGAGGGCGAGAATATATCTAAGTCATGCAGTTTACGGGAGGTGCGAGCTGTCATGGATATAGAGGCTGATATTGTGCCAGCGTGAGGGCAGAGACAGAAAGAAGACACTGATTTCTTGAATAACCCACCTACATCTAATCGAATCCACAGGGAGCGCTCGTACTTTGATCCATCAGGACGCGAAGAATCTTCAAAGCACTCTCAAACAGGGAGTTTTACAGTGGGCAGCCAATTTCGCAGCCATTATGAAGGCCCTCGACGACTACAGGAGATTTGTAGAGGAAAGAACAAGGAGTAAAGAGCGACAACAATCGCTTGAAGAAAAAGCAAAGAAAAACTGCTCTCTCTCTCCAGTCATTTAGATGCTGTTGCCCTTGACAACTGGTTCCACCCAGAGGACGCGACTTTTGTTTGTCCCCTATGCTCTCCGTTGCTATGCGTATCGAAGGGGCCGTGACGTCACACTTAACAGCCCCATGGGCTGTTAAGTGATGACGTCACAGTTCCTTCGATACGCATAACAACGATCCCACTGGGTACAAACAAAAGTAGCGTCGTCTCCACCCACCCAGTTGTCAGTGGCAACATATAGGAATCGTGTACATTTCTCCGTTTCTTCTTTGCTGTTTTCAGTGAGTGTTTTGTTTTCTCTTTGTCTTTGAACTCGACGATGTTGTCGTTCTCATTACCTTACTGAGACGTCTCTTGTGACTGTAGCCAGTGTCACGGAAGATTTTATTGGCGTGACAAGGTAGATCGCCGAGATCGAGCGTGAAAAACGCTCTGCATTAGTAGCTCCTGTAGAATGTTTTCTGAGTTGGCGTATATCAGGGTCAACAAAACCAAGGTGCAAGACAGCATGAGAGATCGTGTAAACGATGTGAACTCCAAAAGGTAAGCTCCTGAACAAGTGGAAAGATATGGGTATTTATAAACTCTCTCTTAATTCATCGATTGCCGCTATGCATTGCATTTTGTCTTCACAGATAATCTGGCCAAATTTATTGTAACTAGAGAGTGCAATCGTGCTTGAAGCCCATCCCAATGTCATCACATGGCAGTGGTGACGAGTGTATATCTGGGAGAATTTTCCTCGACTGATACGGAGTGCAGATGGATCGATTATGAGAAATGCGAACACGTGAAGTAAGTAATTAGTTGTGTCGAAGAAATGTGCAATAAAATAACATTTACTTTACACTCAAACATACACTGTAGATGTACATGTAACATCATGATAATGATTCCATCTTCATTGTCCCGCAGCTGGTACACCATACGCACCGAATACATGGTGTGTGTGTGTGTGGGCGCAAGCGCGCGCATGTACATGCACACTCTCATGCGTGGCCGAGTCGGCCAGATGAACAGACCATGCATTTACACGAGGTGTCCGTAATGTCATTGGAACGCTGTACTTTATGACTTTATACCAAAAGAGTATGTCTTGCCCCTGACGAATGGAGTTGTGTCTGTGCTCAGCGGGTATCGGGCTATGACGCAACACTGCAATCAGCGCTGCAATTAAAAGAGCACTGCATAGATTATTTTGACTAACTTCCTTTGCGTTTACTTGGTTGAGCCCGTGCTTTCATTTCTGTGTTCTGACATGATTGGTCTCTGGAAATCATCAGAGTGGATGTCATTTTGCCATATATGTGTGCCTTGTGCGAGGCTAGATGCACTTCACATTCGGCGTGCGATCTCAGCGTCTGGGACCTGATGAAGTCTTGGTTGGATGATTATTCAAGCCTGATACCACTCGACACACCAATGTTCATGTCAATGTAATTTTTCAGAGCTGCACTATTTACGTGTTGATGGTTACTTCGGTGTTAGCGTGTTTCCCCCGGATTGTTTCTATCATCATGATCGTGTGTTCTTGGGCTGAGCGAGCACATGCACAAGTGTGCAGCTATAACCCTGTGTATCTTTGGTTACACTTTGTTCTGCAATGCATGTACCTTGTAACATTATGTGCTTGCACTGCTTTGTCTGGCCTGCGTATTTCAGGACTATTCAGTGCATTAGACCCAGGTTGGTTTGGTTATTATTATTATTATTATTATTATTATTTAAATTTTGAATAGGGCAATCCCCACAGGCCTAAGGCCTTTTTACAGGGTACCCTATGTGATCACGTACAGATTTGCGGAATAGTGAAAGCGATGAGCAAGAGCGAATGTCAGCTGGAAGAGAATTCCAGCGGTCAGAAGCCAGGTTGCCGGATGATCTCTTGTTGCGTCGCTCTGTGTTTTGTATTCATCAATTTTTGGGCTTGAGAATTGAGCTGTTGTGTGGTTCCCAATATGAAAACATCATGCTGGTGCTCTGTGTTTCGATTATCGACTGTCGGAGCAGTCATGCATTTATTAGCAGAACGGTCAATACTGTAGTCTTTTCACGTGTTAGTCTTTTTTGTGTTTTCGCCGGGGTATTAGCGGTAACGTTGCACACAGAACGGCAGCGTTGCATCACTGGACGACCCTGCCTCTGTATCTGACTTAATTTCCCCAGGATCTGGTGCAGTTACACCAGACAGCCACTTCCTGTAAACACGCAAACAGCAAAAGAAGAGATCCCGCAAATCAGGAAAAAACATGATAGAAAATATAGAATAGATCATACAACATTCAATAATCTGGAGTAATTATTATTATTATTATTATTATTATTTTTTCTTATTTTGTTAGGGATTTCCCAACAGGCAATGTTGCCTTTTTACTGGGAACCCTAAATGAGACTTTGTGTGAGCGCGAAACAAAGCAGGCGACTCGGCCAGGCGACAAGATGGAGGCAGCGCATTCCACCTGTCGGCACCAAGATACGCAATGGAATGGAAACCATACCGGGAGTGGCAGGCAGGCAAGACAAGAGCAGCTGTAGCTTGGCCCCGAGTTGTGGCAGAAGAATGTGGGCCAGTGCAGCGGGGAGTGAATAGGAGGCTGAGAAGTGGGCTAGATAAACCATGCAGACAGCGAAAGACAAAGACGTATTGCTTGAAATTTAAGCGTTGCTCTAGTGTGTAGATCTTGGTGTAAGCGTACAGGGTCTCAGTGGGAGTTCTGCGGTCAAGGGCAAATATTCTTTTAAGACTAGTACGGCTGGCTGTGATCAGCTGGTTGTATGAACGGTGAGATAGACAGTTAATGTAGGCAGAGCTAGCATACTCAAGGGTGGATTGAATAATAGATAGATAGAAAAGACGACGCGCTCTGTGGTTCAGGTTCTGCCTGGCATGCTTGTAGGCTCCGACCTTCTGCTTGACGGCAATGCAAACTCGCTCTACTTGAGCATCGAATGCCAAGTGCTCATCCACAATGAGGCCCAGGTATTTGGCTGTGTGCGCAGGATAGAGAGTGGAGTTGCGGCATGATATGGACACAGTGGTGGGTAAGGGACTAGTTGGGCGACGTAGTAGCAGAAATTGTGTCTTATCAGGGTTAAGAACCAGTCCCTTCCCTGTAAGGTAGCTGTCCAGAGCAGCAAGGTCCGCCGTGAGACGCTCCAACACAGTATCACAGTCACTATGCCGGACATAAAATGCAATATCATCGGCATATTCCTGGTCTTGGCTAAACCTAAAACATGGTGTTATGTCGCGAATGTAGATACAAAACAAGACTGGGCCCAGAACGGAGCCTTGGGGCACTCCTCTGGAGCATGGGCGTGACTTACAGTGAGGCAAACACTTCAAACAGTGCTCTCTCTCTCTCTCTCTCTCTCTCTCTCTCTCTCTCTCTCTCTCTCTCTCTGTCTCCATCCTTCCAAAAATACCCTATGACAATTCCCTAGAATTATTTTATTTTATATTCTTAGGACATCATTCTGAACATAATAAATTCTTCCATGGGTCTTCAATCACCACGGAGGGCGAAAATATATCTAAGTCATGCAGTTTACGGGAGGTGCGAGCTGTCATGGATATAGAGGCTGATATTGTGCCAGCGTGAGGGCAGAGACAGAAAGAAGACACTGATTTCTTGAACAACTCACCTATATATAATCGAATTCACAAGGAGCGCTCATACTTTGATCCATCAGGACGCGAAACATCTTCAAAGCACTCTCAAACACGGAGGTTTACTGTGGGTAGCCAATTTCACAGCTATCATGAAGGCACTCGACGACTACAGGAGTTTTGTAGAGGAAAGAACAAGGAGTAAAGAGCGACAACAATCGCTTGAAGAAAAAGCAAAGAAAAACAACTGTCTCTCCAGTCATTTAGATGCTGTTGCCCTTGACATCTGGTTCCATCCAGAGGACGCGACTTTTATTTGTCCCCAGTGCTCTCCGTTGCTATGCGTATCGAAGGGGCCGTGACGTCACACTTAACAGCCCCATTGTGTGAGTGTATATGCAGGAGTCCGCGGTCACGTAAGGGGGGAGTGATAAATGGAAGTTTCCGGAGGAGGAAGGAGGAAACTGTAGTTATCACCAACCCTCACAGCACCCAGCTCACGCCGCTACGGCGTACGACCTGAGCTGGGCGCCCTGCCGTGCAGTATGGAACTGTCCTCAAGCCAGTCACGTATTTGGCGGCCCAGTGAACTGTCTACCGGATTCCAGCGTTTAGAAGCGCCAAATGCGGCAGGCCCAGTCTCAGGCTGGTCCCGTAGGCGGCAGGCCGGCGGGCGACGGCAAATCTGCATTCGCATTTGGATCAACGAAGTGATACAGGTGCTTCCACTGCACCCTTTGGCGCATCAGGGAGGCATCTGGGGCCCAGGCAGCCCGCCCATAAGCGCACCACCGTATCAGGTATGCGCAGTAGGCCTCGCCCAAATTTGCCGGCAATGCTTCCAGCAAAATATCGGAATTTCCCACGAAAAGAAATTGCCGGCAAATTCCGAACAAATTATCGAATTTACAGAGGATCCTGGTGTGTTTTGGCAATAAGGCCACACTGAAGAAGGTCTGTGGTTCGACTCACCCGACCGACCGTACATTTTTCAGCCCGACCGTAACTTTTTTTCGGCGGGCTGTCGTGTGACTGACGTACGTGCGTTCCGCAAGGGTCGGTGCTAGGGCCTCTGTTATTCTCTTTGTACGTGCGACATGTCCCTGGAGTACTTCGCCACGCAGAGTCCCAACAGTATGCTGACGATATCGCCTTTTATATACACTGTCAGTCTACTGGAGAACTTCAGCACAAGTTGACAAGTGAGTTGAACAGACTAAATACGTACCTTGGAAGCATTGGTCTCATCTTGAATGCCCAGAAAACGAAGTTCATGGTGCTTCGGAAGAAGGCTCTGCCTCTTCCGCCGGATCTTACCATTGCATGCGGTGGTGTCGATATTCGACCTTCTGCCACAGCGCGTCATCTTGGCCTCATTATTGACCAACACCTCACCTTTGAGGATCAAGTCAACCATGTGTGTACATCTGTTTATAAGAAGATAGGAGCATTCCGCCGCTGCCGCCGTACAGTAGATCACACAATTAAGCGAATATTTTATTTATCCCTCATCCAATCCACTATTGAATACGCCAGCAACTCGTATGCTCACTGTCTTACACCATCTTTATACTCTCGCCTTGTTACTTTAAGTCATATCAGCATGAAACAGGTTTTTGGTCTCCCTCGCCGTACCCCGACTGTCTTTGTTTTGCGGCACGCTAAGTTATACTCCCTCGAATCTCGTCTCAACTTGAGGCTTTTTATTTTTGTTTTCCGCTGTATTCATCAGCTTACAAGTCCTCTTCTTTCCTCAATGTTCAATGCGCTCAATGCGCTGCTTGCATACTCCAAGGTTGACTGAATGACACTTAAATAGAAGGTACGCCGAGCATGGTATGGCAGAAGATGGCGGGATAAGCGGTACGCACCAAGTTTCCTGTTGACAGAGCCTACAAGGTTGTCTATTTGTGGGCCAAAAGTCAAGTTTTCGTCAAGTACAATACCCAAGTAGCGAGCAGACTGCGTGCAGGGAACATGGACACCATCAATGGTGACATAGGCAGACATCGGGACATCGGTGGTCTTGCGGTGGAGCAGTATGAACTTCGTTTTAGCCGGATTTAATTTCATTCGCTTTCCTTTCAGATAATCCGATAACTTAATAAGATCGCCGTTCAATTTGTCCACGACTTCTTCAGTAGTGTCACCAGCTGCATACATGTTAACGTCGTCAGCGAACTGAAGTACAGATGAGGCACTCACACATCCAGGAAGGCCTCTTACGTAAATGCTGAATAGCACTGGGCCCAACACAGACCCCTGCGGCACTCCTTGGCTGCACGATGCACGTATCAGATTGTCCGGCGCTATGAGCTGCTGTGTCCTGTCACTCAGGTAATCTTTGAACCATGCCAAAGCCGCATCACCAACTCCACAATTAAAAAGTTCGTTCAGTAGCAGCTGATGGTTGACGCTGTCGAACGCCTTCCTCACATCTGCGAGAACGACGCCAACGACCTTTTTCGAATCGAGATCCCTTTGCCAGCTGTCGATCGCAACAGCCAGAGCCTCTTCACATGAGTGATGCCGTCTGTACGCAAATTGTTGTGGCGGGATGATGGTGGGGTTCTCCAGTAGGAGGTGAGTAAGCTGGCGATATACATGCTTCTCGAGGACCTTACTAGCAATGGGCAAGAGAGAGACGGGTCGGAAGTTTCGCGGCTCTGAGCGGTCTCCGCCTTTGAAAATGGCTCTGACGGATGCGTGTTTGAACAAAGCTGGAAACCTGCTCTCCTCAATGGATGCCTTGAAAATTGCACACAGTGAGCCTGCTAGAACTTCATGGCAATTCTTAAACAGGATCGAGGGTATTCTGTCCGGCCCCGGAGCCTTGTGCACGTTCAGAGTGCGAAGAATCTTCAAGATGTTGGTGACTGTAGGCTCCCGAATTTACTTTCAACTCGCATCGTTCTTCATTTGCTTGATGATATGGACAGTCAGAGTCACGGCTTGAAGTTATTCTCTTCTCGTTCCAGAGCTACACAATGTTTCAAAGTATTAGCCAGTGATCCCTTTATACAACATGTATGGCATAACACTGCGTAATAATGCCGATGTACTTGGTGTCTAAAGGCAGTACAGTGTATTTACATGTACTAAAAAATATATTTAAAAAAAAAATCCGCCCGCCCGCCCGTAAAAAAAATGTCCATGTTAGTCGAACCACACGCCTTCTTTAGTTTGGCCTAATCAAATTTCTTTGGTTTCATGGGCCAATGTCGTGCTGAAATAGCTCGTGCAGGTTGTCAGGGGTACATAAATTTGAAATCATGCTACAAAATCTGTAATACTGACACCATTATAAGTTTTGCTTTCCTCATCAGAGTCGCCATCCACTTTTACCAAAGTAGACGGTTCATTCGAAGCCATTTTTGCCACAAAGCAGGAGCAAAATGGAGCAAAATATCGGAAACAAAAGGCAATGCCAAGCAAAATATGGA